TACATATTCTGTATTCTTTTAATGAGCTAAATATGAATCCGTTTTGATTTTTTTAAAAAAACTGTATTTTGACCGGGGACGCGTAGGGATGCGTAGTTTAGCCAAAAAAAATTTTTTCGAAAAAATTTTTTTTTTAATTATTTTTATTAATACCATTTTCTGAATCTCCTTAAAAAGCTAAACATGAATCTGCTTTTATTTTTTAAAAAAAACGGTTTTTTGATCGGGGACGCGTAGTGTTTTTGAAAAAAAAAGTGTTTTTTGAAAAAATAACTAAGTTATAAAATAGTTTAAAATATAATATTTACATATTCTGTATTCTTTTAATGAGCTAAATATGAATCTGTTTTGATTTTTTTAAAAAAACTGTATTTTGACCGGGGACGCGTAGGGACGCGTAGTTTAGCCAAAAAAAAATTTTTTTTTTTAATTTTTTTTTATTAATACCATTTTCTGAATCTCCTTAAAAAGCTAAACATGAATCTGCTTTTATTTTTTAAAAAAAACAGTTTTTTGACCGGGGACGCGTAGTGTTTTCGAAAAAAAGTGTTTTTTCAAAAAATCACTAAGTTATTAAATAGTTTAAAATATAATATTTACATATTCTGTATTCTTTTAATGAGCTAAATATGAATCTGTTTTGATTTTTTTTAAAAAACTGTATTTTGACCGGGGACGCGTAGTTTAGCCAAAAAAAAATTTTTTTTTTTTAAATTTTTTTTTATTAATACCATTTTCTGAATCTTCTTAAAAAGCTAAACATGAATCTGCTTTTATTTTTTAAAAAAAACGGTTTTTTGACCGGGGACGCGTAGTGTTTTCGAAAAAAAGTGTTTTTTGAAAAAATCACTAAGTTATAAAATAGTTTAAAATATAATATTTACATATTCTGTATTCTTTTAATGAGCTAAATATGAATCCGTTTTGATTTTTTTAAAAAAACTGTATTTTGACCGAGGACGCGTAGGGATGCGTAGTTTAGCCAAAAAAAATTTTTTCGAAAAAATTTTTTTTATTAATACCATTTTCTGAATCTCCTTAAAAAGCTAAACATGAATCTGCTTTTATTTTTTAAAAAAAAACAGTTTTTTGACCGGGGACGCGTAGTGTTTTCGAAAAAAAGTGTTTTTTCAAAAAATCACTAAGTTATTAAATAGTTTAAAATATAATATTTACATATTCTGTATTCTTTTAATGAGCTAAATATGAATCTGTTTTGATTTTTTTAAAAAAACTGTATTTTGACCGGGGACGCGTAGTTTAGCCAAAAAAAAATTTTTTTTTTTTTAAAATTTTTTTTATTAATACCATTTTCTGAATCTTCTTAAAAAGCTAAACATGAATCTGCTTTTATTTTTTAAAAAAAACGGTTTTTTGACCGGGGACGCGTAGTGTTTTCAAAAAAAAGTGTTTTTTGAAAAAATCACTAAGTTATAAAATAGTTTAAAATATAATATTTACATATTCTGTATTCTTTTAATGAGCTAAATATGAATCCGTTTTGATTTTTTTAAAAAAACTGTATTTTGACCGAGGACGCGTAGGGTAGCCAAAAATTTTTTAATTTTTTTTATTAATACCATTTTCTGAATCTCCTTAAAAAGCTAAACATGAATCTGCTTTTATTTTTAAAAAAAAAACAGTTTTTTGACCGGGGACGCGTAGTGTTTTCGAAAAAAAGTGTTTTTTCAAAAAATCACTAAGTTATTAAATAGTTTAAAATATAATATTTACATATTCTGTATTCTTTTAATGAGCTAAATATGAATCTGTTTTGATTTTTTAAAAAAAACTGTATTTTGACCGGGGACGCATAGTTTAGCCAAAAAAAAAAATTTTTTTTTTAATTTTTTTTTTTAATTTTTTTTATTAATACCATTTTCTGAATCTTCTTAAAAAGCTAAACATGAATCTGCTTTTATTTTTTTAAAAAAACGGTTTTTTGACCGGGGACGCGTAGTGTTTTTGAAAAAAAAAGTGTTTTTTGAAAAAATCACTAAGTTATAAAATAGTTTAAAATATAATATTTACATATTCTGTATTCTTTTAATGAGCTAAATATGAATCCGTTTTAATTTTTTTAAAAAAACTGTATTTTGACCGGGGACGCGTAGGGATGCGTAGTTTAGCCAAAAAAAAATTTTCGAAAAAATTTTTTTTTTTAATTTTTTTTATTAATACCATTTTCTGAATCTCCTTAAAAAGCTAAACTTAATCTGCTTTTATTTTTAAAAAAAAACAGTTTTTTGACCGGGGACGCGTAGTGTTTTTGAAAAAAAAAAGTGTTTTTTGAAAAAATCACTAAGTTATAAAATAGTTTAAAATATAATATTTACATATTCTGTATTCTTTTAATGAGCTAAATATGAATCTGTTTTGATTTTTTAAAAAAAATTGTATTTTGACCGGGGACGCGTAGTTTAGCCAAAAAAAAATTTTTTTTTTTAAATTTTTTTTATTAATACTATTTTCTGAATCTCCTTAAAAAGCTAAACATGAATCTGCTTTTATTTTTTAAAAAAAACGGTTTTTTGATCGGGGACGCGTAGTGTTTTTGAAAAAAAAAGTGTTTTTTGAAAAAATAACTAAGTTATAAAATAGTTTAAAATATAATATTTACATATTCTGTATTCTTTTAATGAGCTAAATATGAATCCGTTTTGATTTTTTTAAAAAAACTGTATTTTGACCGGGGACGCGTAGGGATGCGTAGTTTAGCCAAAAAAAATTTTTTCGAAAAAATTTTTTTTTTAATTATTTTTATTAATACCATTTTCTGAATCTCCTTAAAAAGCTAAACATGAATCTGCTTTTATTTTTTAAAAAAAACGGTTTTTTGATCGGGGACGCGTAGTGTTTTTGAAAAAAAAAGTGTTTTTTGAAATAACTAAGTTATAAAATAGTTTAAAATATAATATTTACATATTCTGTATTCTTTTAATGAGCTAAATATGAATCTGTTTTGATTTTTTTAAAAAAACTGTATTTTGACCGGGGACGCGTAGGGACGCGTAGTTTAGCCAAAAAAAAAATTTTTTTTTTTAATTTTTTTTTATTAATACCATTTTCTGAATCTCCTTAAAAAGCTAAACATGAATCTGCTTTTATTTTTTAAAAAAAAACAGTTTTTTGACCGGGGACGCGTAGTGTTTTCGAAAAAAAGTGTTTTTTCAAAAAATCACTAAGTTATTAAATAGTTTAAAATATAATATTTACATATTCTGTATTCTTTTAATGAGCTAAATATGAATCTGTTTTGATTTTTTTTAAAAAACTGTATTTTGACCGGGGACGCGTAGTTTAGCCAAAAAAAATTTTTTTTTTTTTAAATTTTTTTTTATTAATACCATTTTCTGAATCTTCTTAAAAAGCTAAACATGAATCTGCTTTTATTTTTTAAAAAAAACGGTTTTTTGACCGGGGACGCGTAGTGTTTTCGAAAAAAAGTGTTTTTTGAAAAAATCACTAAGTTATAAAATAGTTTAAAATATAATATTTACATATTCTGTATTCTTTTAATGAGCTAAATATGAATCCGTTTTGATTTTTTTAAAAAAACTGTATTTTGACCGAGGACGCGTAGGGATGCGTAGTTTAGCCAAAAAAAATTTTTTCGAAAAAATTTTTTTTATTAATACCATTTTCTGAATCTCCTTAAAAAGCTAAACATGAATCTGCTTTTATTTTTAAAAAAAAAACAGTTTTTTGACCGGGGACGCGTAGTGTTTTCGAAAAAAAGTGTTTTTTCAAAAAATCACTAAGTTATTAAATAGTTTAAAATATAATATTTACATATTCTGTATTCTTTTAATGAGCTAAATATGAATCTGTTTTGATTTTTTAAAAAAAACTGTATTTTGACCGGGGACGCATAGTTTAGCCAAAAAAAATTTTTTTTTTTAATTTTTTTTATTAATACTATTTTCTGAATCTTCTTAAAAAGCTAAACATGAATCTGCTTTTATTTTTTAAAAAAAACGGTTTTTTGATCGGGGACGCATAGTGTTTTTGAAAAAAAAAGTGTTTTTTGAAAAAAATCACTAAGTTATAAAATAGTTTAAAATATAATATTTACATATTCTGTATTCTTTTAATGAGCTAAATATGAATCTGTTTTGATTTTTTAAAAAAAACTGTATTTTGACCGGGGACGCATAGGGACGCGTAGTTTAGCCAAAAAAAAATTTTTTTTTTAAATTTTTTTTATTAATACCATTTTCTGAATCTCCTTAAAAAGCTAAACATGAATCTGCTTTTATTTTAAAAAAAAAACGGTTTTTTGATCGGGGACGCGTAGTGTTTTTGAAAAAAAGTGTTTTTTGAAAAAATCACTAAGTTATAAAATAGTTTAAAATATAATATTTACATATTCTGTATTCTTTTAATGAGCTAAATATGAATCTGTTTTGATTTTTTTAAAAAAACTGTATTTTGACCGGGGACGCGTAGGGACGCGTAGTTTAGCCAAAAAAAAAATTTTTTTTTTAATTTTTTTTTATTAATACCATTTTCTGAATCTCCTTAAAAAGCTAAACATGAATCTGCTTTTATTTTTTAAAAAAAAAAGGTTTTTTGACCGGGGACGCGTAGTGTTTTTGAAAAAAAAAGTGTTTTTTGAAAAAATCACTAAGTTATAAAATAGTTTAAAATATAATATTTACATATTCTGTATTCTTTTAATAAGCTAAATATGAATCCGTTTTGATTTTTTAAAAAAAACTGTATTTTGACCGGGGACGCGTAGTTTATTTTTTAAAAAAATATATTTTTGTAAATTTTATATAGTTACCGTATTTTTTTTAAATTAAAAAAAACATTTTCTAACTCATCTTATAAAGCTTAATAAGATTTCTTATTAATATTAATAAAAATAAGTCGTTTTGACCGGGGACGCGTAGTTTTCGGGGACGCGTATTTTAGTCATTCCCATGAAAATCAATCATTGTTTATTATAAATTAATAAATAGAAATAATATTCATGAATTACAAAAAGGATTTATAGATATTATTTATATTTAAATATATATAGTTACAATATATATCTAATATCATTTAAATTAAAAAAGATTATATAGATATATTTATTGTCCTTTAAATAGAATGGTTTTGGTCAGCTTCTGACGAATGTTGGTATTTTCATTTTTATTTTGTTTATCTGCAAAATGATAAAATCTTATGTTTATGTAACGTTCAACTATTAATCTAATTAATTTTTAATAATGGCTAGATGTTTCTTCTTGATCTAGCATGTGATCAACCAGATTATCAAAAATATTTGTTTCTATCACTTTTGAAATCACAAAAGATACTATTCGTTTAAATATACAAGGCCTTTTAATTTGATTATTATGTTCAAATGTACGGAAACCACTTTCAGCATATTGGCATAATCTAGATACATCTCTGGAAGGAATTATTAATCCCTGATTGTTTTTAATTATAGCTCTCTTGATCTTTACAATTTTTAACAATCATTGCAGAAATACATATATAACACTTTACCTTATTTTCGAATATAAGTTTACGTGTTATATATCCTGATATATAAGTTGCGATGTTATCAACGAATGGCGATAATTTTTGGATATCTGGAACATCTATAAAAGAAAAATCTATAGCTTGTATATTGTCATCATCATTATCTTGATAATCTCCACAAAAAAGATTTGTATTATCGAGTGGAATACAATTACCTGTGCATAAGGCTCCCATCTTTGCTATCATAACGCCTCTTATAGCTGATCGTAATTGATAGGCAGAAGGGTTATTATTAAAACCTCCTCTGCTTCGTAAACAGCTAAAGAAGAGCTCTAGATGATCTTGAGATGTTTTGTAGGTTAAAAGATATCTAAAATATGAAAAGCAATAAATATACAAAATATATATAATGCTAAATAAAATACTTGAGTTTGGGGTTAGGTCCTAATAATAATTCCCTCCCAATTCCCAAAATGCTTTTCATTGACAAGATTAAGCCTATAATGCAGACTTTTTTTTTGATCTATAAACGTATTTTCCACTTTCAAACTTTAAGGATTTTAAAGTTGTAATGCACATCTCAAAAAAATTTTCATAATAAGAAAGTGAATTTGTAGTTAGTGGTTTTTTAAACCCTTTAGCAACTATGTTCCGTGTATTTAAAAAGTCAAACATTCTATAAAAATATGATTTAAAATATTAATATATTTTAATACTGATCAATCATTTGAATAAAGTCAACTGTGCTCTCACAATTTTCAAATCCATCAATCTTTAGCTCTTGTGCCAAAAGATTACCTTTTGTACAGCAAGTTTAACCTTTAAAAAAAATATAAGTATTGTAGTATTTTTAATTGTACTTTCATTTTTTGTTTGTGATAGTCAATATGAGATTTATTAATTTTATTAGCAGCACGAAGTCCTTCTTTATCTTGTAAATTGTGAAGATTAGCTATATATTTCCAATTTATTATCTATTAATTTATAAAAATATATATTTTAATAGTAATTTAATTACTGATCCATTATTATAAATTAAAATTTTTTATCACCGAGAAGATTTCCAACAACTTAATCATGTGGCATACGTAAGGGATGCCTGTAAAAAAATTTTTTAATTGATCCTCCCCTTCACCACATATTAAATTTTTATTCTTCAAATGTTTAATAATTGATTTTAAATCAATAATCTTCTTATTTCTTATAGTTTCCCTCTTATAAGAGGCGCTCATTTTTTTTCTTAATTTTAAAATATATTTATCTTGATATTTGATCTTTCTTGATAAGAATGATAAATTGGCTGTATATATATGATCATTGGCTATTGTTTGTGAAGCATATTTTCTCTTAATTAAAATATAGACAAATAATAAATCTCACAAGAATTTTAATAAATAGGGCTTACATGACTAGCAGGTTTCTCCAAATCTACATCTTCAAGAATACCAAAAAATTAGAAAATATATTGCAGCTTTTTACATGAGAAAAATTGCTTTATAGGTTACCAAAATGGCGTCCCCAGCTGATTTGTATTGATGTATAGTTTTAATGAATGAATCGTCAGTCTAGGTATATTATATGTCATTGATACATATCATGTATAATCAAACGATGATCCCTATCATATATGCACTTCTTCCAGATAAAAGGAAGGAGTCATATATTGAGCTATTTCAAATAATCGTGGAATATGGGACATTGAATGGTATCCAGTTTTTACCAGACATGGCACAAACCGACTATGAAGCAGGAGCGATATCTGCTCTAGAATTTGTATTTCCCAATATTTTAGTAAAGGGTAAAGTTTAAATTATTTATAGTTGTAACATAATTTATTTTTAGGCTGCTTCCTACACTTTACGCAGGTTGGCGTAAAGTTCAGCATTTAGGCTTAGTCAAGCAGTATAAAAAAGAGACTGCTGTATACACTATTGTTCGAAAGATGAGTGTACTCCCTTTATGCAAGAGAGAGGACATTCAAGTAGTTCGTTATTCTTGTGTAGATCTAGCAGCCAATGACCCGTTAATATTAAGCTTCTTAATATATATATATATACTACCTGAATAAATTCTGATGCAATCTTTCCTCATGAAATTTGGACCAGGTAATTATTTCATTTTTATTAATTCCTCTTTATATAAAAGTTTATAATATTTTTAACATTTAATACATTGTTTGGTATTAGGTATAAGATTCAAGGTCCTCGCAGTAATTATCATCTCGAAGGATATCACCATTCCCTCGAGCGAATGGCAAAGAATGCTCATCCGGACATATATTCATTAATTCGCGTTTTAAAAGATAACCAACGCCTGACAGAACTTAAAGTTATACAAATCAATAACGGGGAAATAGTTACGGGGAAAAATAAAAAATATGTGATAATTAATAAAAAAAAATTGTAAACTTAACAGCATTATATGATATTACTTCCAATTTTTTTTTTTTTATTGATAAAGTGTCTGATTTAATAAAATCATATTAAATATATATATTATTAAATTTAAAATAGGTGTAGATATATTGTTAATAAAAAATTTAATATAAAATTGATAAAAGAGACCAATATATTTGGTGTTTCGATTGAAATGATACTTTTTTTACTTATTCATAACTTTGTAAATTTTTTGTTTACATGACGAGATTTTCACTGGATGCAGATCTCCATCATAAATCTATATACCCCCTCCCCCTAAAAAAAATTTGCAATTAAAAGAATACTCCCTCTATAACTTCTCTACTATCATCTCGCTAAATATTATTAATGTAAAAAAGTTACTTTTTAAAACATGAATTCATTTAATAAAATCCATTATATATAATAATGCATTATTATAATATATATTTTGGCATGATTTTGAGTTCACTGATAGAATTTTGGGTAAGTAGATTATGCATTTTAAAAAATGAATGTTTGCTAATTGATAGTAGAGTTATTGAAAAAGTAAAAAATTCGTCAATCAGCAAAAATATTAGGCAGAAAATTACGTTAAAAGAAAACATTACATTAGAAGAAGTTCTTACTTTAAAAAATGATATCCACTCAGGTTTTTCTTGTACGTGAATCTTATCGTCACTTCAGCATGTTATCGTTTGTTGAATCGATTATCGAACATCATGAAACATCGTTGGTTGAAACGTCGTTAGTTGAATATTGCTTGTTGATTTGCTGTTTGTATTGATCATCCCATTTCTCTTTTAAAATTTTATATATATATTTTTTTACAAAATTTTATTTATTCATAACAATCATTTTCTATGTCGTAGGTCATATTCTCGATTTTGAACTTGACTTTGAATTTACGAATCTTGAACTTGAACTTGTTCACTTCTTCCTCCTCTAAAAATTTTTTCTCCTTTGTAGAATTTTCATTTGATATTTTGTTGTTGTTTAGCCTCAGTCATATCTTTTCATTAATTTTAGCTTGTTATTCTTATCATCTAATCATTCACTTGAACATCATCTTCACACTAGCTTGTTCATCTCGTTATTTATTATCATTTTTATCAATGTTTCATAAATAAATTCCTTTTGAAAATAATGACTATGATTATGTGTATGATATAAATTTGATCATTGTGTTGACAATATAGTAGGGTAATTACCATATTTTTAGTCGAAAAATGTCACCTTGGCCTCGGGGTTTTTCTTAAAAAGTTAGCAACTTTAATTTAGATGAAATATAAATTAGATCATTTTAATATTAATTAGTAAGTTAAAAAGTTTATGGAAAATTTTATAAAATTCATAGGCAATATTATGCTTTACATTTTCTGTAAAATCAGATTTTTGAATTTCAAAAGCGTTCAAAGTTTTTCCGGAAAAAATACATTGCGGTATATTTTACAAAAAAATTATATTATCTTTTTTAGTTTAGTTAGCTTTTTTTATAAGTGCTAAATTATTTATAATTATATTATAGTTTATTATATTATCCTTAGGATATATATTTTTATTTAGTATTTTAACTATTAAAGAAATTTTTAAATGATAATTAATATAATTACTAAATTTGTAATAATATAATTTGTAAGATATTTGTATTAAGTATTTAATATAACTATTGATGGAATTTTTATTGTCATTTAAAATATTTATTAAATTTGTAAAACGCTTGCTTAATAATATAATTTGTAATTATATACTTATATTTATTATAATTTTACCCACATAATATATTTGTATTAAGTATTTAATATAACTATTGATGAAATTTTTTATTGTCATTTAAAATATTTATTAAATTTATAAAACGCTTGCTTAATTATATAATTTGTAATTGTATACTAAAATTTATCATAATTTCACCCATAGATATATATTTGTATTAAGTATGATCAGAGTTGGTCAGTAGCGCGAATACTTGTATCTAAGATACAAGATCCTTTTATATCTTGTACTCAGTATCTTTTTGACCTTTTTAATAAGATACTAGTATCTGTATCTAAGATCCTTTATTTTGAATTCCATTTTTTGACAAAGATACAGATACAGATTCTTTTTAATATTCATGTTTAAATAAAACATTTACATATTACACAATGTAACTTTATATTCTTCGTGGAATCTATTATTTTCTTAATTTCTATCCTGCTTTATTTTAAATATATTAATTACCAAAATTAGTTGGAAATTTTACAGGTCACAAAGTTTGATAGATTAAAAATAACAACACCAAAACTAAATAAGTAAGGATATATTTTATATATTATATTTTTTAATTTGCAGAATGATTAATATTCATAGTGAAGAAAGTAGTGAATATGAAATTATGGAGATAGATTCTCCTGAATCAAATCTGAATCTTAAAATCCTAGATAAAAAATTTTATAAGATAATATATGTGAAAAAGGACAAGTTACAAGCGGAATGTCAAACTTGTATAAATAAAAAAGTTATTAAAAGATCAACAAACTCATCTACAAATTTTATTAAACATCTTAAGGTATTATATTATATTTATACATTTTTATTTTATTAATTAACATACTTAAGTCCCTCTTAGATAATGGTGATTTTAAAAATTTTTATAGAAGATGGTTGATTATCAAATTAAAATCATTTTGGATATTTATTTTTTATTATTTTTACAAGTTCTCTTATCAGAGGAAATATTTAAGCTACAATTGATATAATATAACATTAGATAATTTTAAAAGGCTCTAAATAAAAGAAATTACATTACAGTATTTATTTACTAAATTTAATCAATTTAGAATGCATAATAGAATGTTATGTATTTAATAATTAAATAATATAATGTTGTACATTATTTTCATATTTTTTTTATAATGATTTTGCATGAAATATATAAAAAAAATTGAAAAGGGATTTGAATGATATTTATAAGATGATAAAATAAGTAAATATGATATTACAAGCACAGACAGAATTAATAAATCATATTAGAAAATGAAACTAATTTAAAAAATACATAAATTCATAAAAAGTGATAAATACTTATTAAAGATAAATGAATAAAATAAAACTGTTGCAGTTTTACTTTACAAAAAAATGCATTATGCAAATCGTAAACAAAAATAATGTTTTATTAAAATATCCCCGTCTATGTAAATGAGAAAAAAACGCGTGAGATTTGTAGATTTTTTAATACTTTAACAGTTTTAACAAGTGGGATGTAGAACTTTTTATTCTTCGCTAGGGAGACTATGTAAATGTTGATTAAAGAAAAAGGATATATAATGGAGAAATTATGATGCGAAAAAGGATTATTATTTTAACTAAAATTTACTTTTAATTTTTTAATTTAATTTTATTATGATTGTTACTATTATAATTTTGAATAAAGAATTAAAGTTGATTTTATGATTTCGTAATTCCTAATTATTATTAATTTCCTTTTATATATATATATATTTGTTTTCTATTTTTATATTTAGGTTTTGATGCACAATGACAAACATGTCGTTGTGACAGTGGTGCCGAAACCCGGGAGGAGACCGGCCCTTAATAACCTTCAGTCTGTGACCGGCAACAAGGAGATGTGCAAACTGTATTCTAATACAAAAAAAAAAAAATTCCAGAAGAACGTAAGAAAAATATGTAAATAAAGATGAAAGGGAAAAATTATGTGGTTAAGATTATGTTTATGTAGGAATATAAAATCTAAAATTAAAGACAAAGGTTTTGAAACTAATAAAGACTATGATATTTTAGATTATAGAATTATTATCAAGTGATCACTAGAAATAACTTTGACAAAGAAATAGAAACATAAATTGCGAAAGTTAATATTTAACTAATAGGTTGCTGAGATATAATAATTAAAAAATTCGGTGAATAAGATTAGAATATAACTTTATTGTTAGGAAATAGTTGATTAAATTCTTATTGAAGATTTACGTTTAACTTTTATTTTAAGGGCTGCGAGAGATAAAACAGCCTCAAGGATTAATGTGAATTAGTATATTAGGTTGTAGAT